ATTTCACTTGGCCAAACACTGGCAGAGAGTAAGACTGCTGATCCATTTCTACATTCATTTATTGCTAGAGAATTTATATGGCTTATTTTATTATCCCTTCAAAAGCAACCCTGCAAAGGAGAGGGTTCTCGTCTTCCAGGTGAAGAGCTGGAAGTTTCTGCCTGGTGCGGCCTTGGCATGACCAGAGCTGAGATGCAGTTCCCAGTTTGACTGCAAAGTCCCGTCCTTTCCCACATCATTGGGTCTTTCCTACCTGCTCTGCTCAGCATTGCCGTCTGTTGGGCCCTAGGCTCTGATTGCTGTAGAGAGGCTGTCATTACAAAGGAAAACACCTGGCATTTGTTAGAACTGTGAGCCACAAATGCAGCAGAAGTTTGGAGTAAATTGCAGCCCTGACTTTCAAAAGATTTATTAATCAGAGTTTGAGTCAGAGATGCTCGATTGTTCTGTTATTCAAAGGGTCTCGCCTCACCACACTTCCCACCCTCCCACGTATTCCTTCTCACCTAAATTCCTCATGGGTTCCAAAAGTGGATTCCAGAGCTCAGAGCAGAGCCACATCAATAAACCCTGGGGAAAACCTTCGTGTGCAATTCCATACATAGGTCTTTGTTGAGAAAGAGCCTTCTTTGTCGAGCAGTCCTAATGCCTCATTATCTAGATGAGTGTTCCACAAGGAGTATGCTTGCATCTTGGTAGAATCTTATCAGTCCCATCATTTATTCAAAAATATTTGAGTACCAACTGTGTTCCGGGCCCTGTTCTAGGTGCCAGCAATAGCGGGCGAACCCCACCAGCAAAGATCCTGCCCAGGCAGAACTGGCTTGCTGGTGGAGGAGACCCCCGATGAACAGGTAAACAAAGCCATGAATCCAGAGGGGTGGGAATCCCTGCTATTTCACCCCCCACGTTTGGCTGTTCTCCTATTTAATGTCCTTGAGATCAGATCATTCCCATTTTTTTCTTGAGTGTCCACTTGTGGGTCTTCAGATGTCCACCCCTGTGTTGTCATCTAGGCTCGAGTGTCCTCTTCTGCCTCCCCCAGACTTATGTTGGTCCTTCTGCTCTGATCTCAGTTGCCCCCTCCTCCTGTTCTGTGTTGTCATAACTGAACACCATACATTACAATGTCCTGCTTTTGTGGACATGTCTGTCACCCCTCCTGGACTCTGGACACTTTAATGAGAGTATCTGTGTCTGATTTATCTTTACATCTCCAGGGCCTAGCATGGAGCCTCGAGAGTGGATGCTGTTTGCTCCAAGAACAAGTGTTGAGTCCTATGGCACCTAGTGGTGGGTGGTGGTATTACAGGAGTTGCTTTTAGGGGAGGAATGCTAACTAAGTCTGGGCGGGAAAGCTTAACCCCAGTTCTGTGATTTTTTGCGAAGTTCAGCATGAGCACTGTCATGAATAGAGGCGTTGGGCTAGGATGTAGGCAGTGATGATGAAGAGAGATGGCATGGAATATTCTGGCGAGTCTTTGAAGGAAATTTAGAAGTTCGAAGTTCTGAGCTCTAGGTCAGAACTGGAGGGAATACTAGTGGTGGTGGGTTTTACAGCTAGCATTCAGTTGGGGTGCAGGGAAGCTGTGGCTTGACTGGGTTCCAACAGCTATTTAGTTGCTGATCAGGTGGGGGAACCAGGCCTCCTGGTCCAGAGGCTTTCTGCTATGCTGGGACCAAGGTTTGTGACAGGTAAGGAAACCAAGGCACCGAGAGGGGAAGTAACTTGCCCAGGACCACTCAGCTGGTGAGCAGTGGAGCCGGAATCCAGACACAGGTCTGCCTGGTGACAGAGGCCAGCTTGTAACCACTACACTAGCTTGTCTTTTCTTGGAGGTTATGAAATGCACGTCTTAACACATTTGCAGTTTTCCTCTTCTGTTAGCTGTACGCCATTATAGGAAAAGAATATTAACATGTTTCCTTTCCATTGAAATGTAGCTGTGTGTCTTCAGAAAAACACTCACATTCTTTAGTCATTAAAACCAAAGTCCCTGACTTATTTACCATGTGTATATACATGCAGGGTACATAAATAACATGAAGGTTTTGTTTTTCTCTACCACTAAATTTAAAATACTCCTATTTCTATGGCACGTCATTTAAAAAGTAAATATTTTATACTATATTGTAATGAATGAAAATCTACTCTTTTAATGTCATGTACACCAGCTTTGCTGTTAATGAATTTATTCAGAACATCTTTACCTAGGTAGGTTTTGCATCCCGTTCTCCCTGACAACTGCTGACATAGGGTTAGAAAGTGTTTTAGAAATGACTCTTTCTAGACACAGAAAAAGTAAATGACTTGCTTGAGTTTGAAAGCAAGTTGATGGAGGAATCGAAAATAGAAGCTTGTCTACTGCCTACTAGACTCACTGAAATTCCTGGCTGCGTTCGCGTAGCGGTCCGAAGTCCAGATCCCGGGACATCAGCCTGTTTTACGCACAGACGTGTTCCTGTTGGGGGCAGGGAGGAGCATCGGGCACAGGCAAAGGGAGCACTGACATGGTTGTTTCTAGGTCACTTCCAACCTTGCCGCTATAGCACAGTTTTCTAGGTGGAAGATAATATACTCATTAAAGTGGAAGTGCTCATTTTAAAATAAAGCAATAGGAGCTCAGAATGCCTCTGTGACATAGACAAATGAGCATACATAAGTGGACTCAATTTTTGTTTTTCATGCACAGTCATATTCTATTTAAGGCAAAGGAGTAGGTTATTTATGAATAACACAGTGTGTTATTCATTTAACTTTAAAAGCCACTGATTAGAATAATAATCACTGTATTCATAGAGTTACTGATATCGCCATGAGTAGAGATAACAGAATGATGCTCTTTATCGCTTCATGTAATCTAGCTTTTAAAATGCACCCTAATTCATAAATGATGAAGAAAGCAAACAGCAGTATACAAATGGGATACTTTGGGTAATTAAATAAATTACAAATTACCATCTCTTCCTCATTATTTGCCCAAACTTATTTTTATGGAATGACCTTTGGTATCAACTCATTTTATAATAAAATGTTTCCTGAGTTTTTTAAAAAAAAATTGTTATGGCCTTTTCTGTCAAGTATGGTATTTATAAAAGTTTCTTTGATGAAAAGCCTGTGAATTTTGTGCAAATAATGCAAGCAGGTTCTTAGATTAGTGATAACATTTGTATAGGACTTTTATAGCTTTATATGATACTTTTACATTCAGTTTATTTAAGTCTTACCTGTGAGCAGTCAGTAAAATTCACATTTTCCTGATGAAAGCAATGTAGAGAAAGGTGCCATGGCATGTTTCTGGGTACATAGCAAGTGTTCAACATATATATTTTAAAATAAAATTAACATAGGGAACACAATATCCAACAGGTTATTTAACTTGCTTGAGGCCGCCCAGCAAAAATATTGTCATACCAAGAACTGAACTGGCTTCTTTACTCGAAAATTTCATACGTTCTCATTGCCTCACTGCTATCCTTTCAGGCATTTTAACAGGTCAAATTAAAAAGGATCATTTTTCTTAATTGAGGTGAAATTCACAAATGCGTGAGTTTTTATTTGGAATTGCAGTTGCCTCTCTTCTGTCATGACTGTCTTTATCATAGCCCATCTCCTGTGTTCCTAACAGCACTCATAAAATTAACCATTTTAAATCACACATTTCAGAGCACTTAGTACATTCACAGTGTTCTACATAGCCATCACCTCTGTCGAGTTGAAATATGTTTTGATCATCCGCAAAGGAGACCCCATCTCCATTAAGTAGTATCCCCAATGTCTTCTCTCCCCAGCTGCTTGTAACTACAAATCTGCTGTCTGTCTCTACAGATTTCTCTATCCTAGATATTTCGTGTCAATGGAATCCTACAATATGTCTCTCCTTAGTCCATTCAGGCTGCTGTAATGGAATACGATAGACTGGGCATCTTATAAACTACAGACATTTATTTCTCACTATTCTAGAGGCTGGAATGTTCAAGACCAAGACTTGAGCAGATTTGTTGTCTTGTAAGGACCTGCTTCCTGGTTCATAAATGGCTTGCTCACTCGTAAAACATCTCTCTGGGGTCTCTTTTGTAAGGGCACTAATCACTTCCCAAAGCTACCTCCTAATACCATTACATTAGGGGTTAGGATTTCAACATGTGAATTTTGAGGGGACATAAACATTCAGCCCATCACAATGATCTTTTGTCTCTAGCTCCTTTTATTTAGCATAGTGATTTCAGGATTAATCTATGTTGTAGCAGGTATCAGTGATTTATTATTTTTTTGTGACTGAATTACATTCCATTGTAGGGATAGGCCATATTGAGTTTATCCATTCATCAGTTGATGGACATTGAGCTATTTCCATATTTTGGCAATTGTGAATGGTGCTACTGTCAGCAGTCATGCAAGTATTTGGATACCTAGTTTCAGTTCTTAGGAGTGGAATTGCCAGGTTATATGACAGTTCTGTTTAACTTTCTGAGGAACCACCAAAGGTTTTCCATTTCCTACCAATAATGTACAAGGGCACCAATTTACCCACATCTTTTTCAATGCTTGTTATTTGAGGTTTTGCTTTTATTACTATAACCTTCCTAGTGGGTATCAAGTGGGTATCTCTTTGTGGTTTTGATTTGCATTTCCCTGATAAAATATTCATATTTAATGCATAGAATTAATCATAAGATGAGCTTTGGTAAGAAGTAAACTCAGCCTCAAAATGAATGGATTTATGTGTCTTCAGCAGATTACTTAAAACAGTGCACAATTCTGGGCTGAAAAATAAAGAACACGTTGCTTCGGGATTAAAAGGATGTATGTAGACAATAAGACCACAGTCATCCCCTAATTTTTAAAAAAATACTGTTTAAACTGATGAGGCAAAATAAGAAATTACATCACATTTTATTTTCATGCCACCTCCCAAAAGATACTTAGATCTTTGCATTGCAGAGTTCTCTTTATATAATCTTGCGTGTCTTAATGGCCTATTCATTTATTTTTGCAGTGTGAGTGAAGGCATCCAGGATGGCTCAGGGATCCGGGGATCAAAGAGCAGCGGGGACTGCTGACCCAGAGGACAGCTCTCCAAACATGATAGTCTACCGCAAAGTAAGGCACCTGGTTCAATGCTGCAGCGCTGCCTGTGTGCGTGCGTGTTCTGTGTAGGGTTGACCGATGGGTGGCAGCTCAACAGACCTTTCTGCCTACACTGCCTGGACTGATAAACGAATAGCATTTTCTTCTCATGTCCTCTGGTTCTCCAATTCTAAAATTCAAGGAAGTTAGTTTTATTCATACATGGTATTGAATACTTGGAAAAACATTGTGTGATTTTTTTTTAAACTCAAAGATCACCTAAGCAATACAGGTGGAGATACATTCTCCTTTGGTATAAAGGCCTTACTGTAGCATTTATTAATTGGATGTTCTTCAAGCTCATACTATGTATAAGAACTGGTCTAGATGCTATGGTAGATACAGAGGTTTATTTGTATTAAATGTTTACAGTTGGTGAGAGATATAAAATATACACAGATAACTGTAATATATTCTAAGTGTTCATTTCTAAAAGAGAAGTGCAGGTAGATTGTTATATAATCTTAGAGGAGGGAGTGATTACTTCCAGCCTCAGAAGTCAGGGACCGGCTTGTGGAGGAGTGGTCTTTGAACTCAGCTTTAAAGGATGGATAAGATTGCTTATGTGGAAAGAACATTCCAGGTGGTGAGATGTGTTCTGCAAAGGCAAAGAGCTGGAGAAAATGAGCAGCAACCGGAACTGGTTAGCTTGCATGTAGGGTGAATTGGTAGAAGTAAATGGAGGCAGGATTCTGAGAAGAGAGGCTGGATGGAGCCAGGTTTTAGAATTCGAAATCACGGAGAATTTAATCATGGAGAACTTTTATGCTGGGAGTTGTAAGATCAACATCTCTTTGGGATTATGAGTCTTGCCCCCACGTGGCAAATGCATTGTTATCAGGGTAGATAGGAAGCTCCGGGAGGGATATTTCCGTGTCTGTGAGAAAGGTAAGGAGGACACTAATCTAGCAGGGGGCACGCCCTGCAGATTTGAGCAGGACTGAGCAGAGGGACTAAAGAGTCTGAGTTAAAAATGACTTGGAAACCAAGTGGATACGGAATTAGGAAGCAAATAGAGAATCAAAGACAACTGGGTTTTTTGACCTTGGGTTATAGAAAGACATTGATGTTACTAATTAATTCAAATAGAGATGTTTGGAAGAATATATGTTAAAGGAAGGAAACATGGCACACAACTTTTATTTGTGCACAATACTGAATTTAAGGAAATAACTGTGTCTTCTTATATAACTTTTCAATGCTTGGCTGTGAAAATTTAAACTGACCATATTACACATTAAGGAAAATGAATTAATGTTCATTCATTTTACTAAATATTTGAGCTGTCTGCTGGGTTCTGCGGATTCTGCGTGACTCTGTGTTCAATCTCTTAATCATATGGGCAATGTTGAACTAGATATTTCTGGATGATCAGTATGATGAATTTCTCTCTTTTCTGCATAGAAATAGAACTCTCAAACTATTTCTGCTTTGAGTATCAAACTCCTTAATTTGCTTTGCAAGAGAATGCTTTGATGATCTGTTTCTAAGAGAGATGCTTATTAAGTTGTGGTAAAGAAAAAATAGTTTAATGGGGCTAGCTAATTAGTGACTCATATAATAATAGATTTTTGTTCATCATTACCTTCTTAATCCATCTCAGACTGGGAGACCCTATGCCTGGCCTGTAGAAACATGGGGTTTGGATTTGGACCAAGGATAAAGCTGCAACCCTGCCACTTCTACAGGTGTGACCTTGAGTCACTTGTTCAACTTCCATCAGCCTCAGTTTCTTCATTTATAAAAAAAGAAATGTAACTCAGGAAGAGGGATAGTGCCTGTGGGGTTATTGTGAAGCTTTATTTAGATCAAGGAAGTAAGGCATCTTAGCTCCTGCTTGGCCTGGAGGTGGTCCGTAATGAATGCTGCTGCTTCTTTTCTCTCTAGGGCTTGTAGAGACAGTGACACTGGTGACGAAATACATTATAAAATGTATAAATGTTGATGCTGTTAATAAGTGGACTCAAGTATGTTCATACAGTGAGTTGCTTTTTTAAGACACAGGAAAACATTACAAATATATTTTGTTTATTTAGGAGATTGCAAATCACTGTGTTATTAAAGGTTAATGTAAAGGTCAAACAATTCAAACACCTTTCTCCTGGAATCCTTGCTGTTATGTTGGAGGGGAGACTTTCTACAAGTTTGTGGGGACTTGATTTTTACTTTTAAGGGAGTAACAGGGAACTCTTTTTTTGTTGTTTGTTTATTTAATTGAGAAGCAAAGTTGTGAATTGCTATAGTTCTTTAGAGAAATGACCACTAGTCATTTGTTTTTTATATTGAAAATGTATCTTGCTTCCTCATGACAAATTTGTGGGCAGGGGTATGCATGTGTTTGTTATTTGACATATTAGTTAGTTTCTATAAAAGGGATATTGGGTATGTTCAACCTATTAGAAAGAAGACACACTCATTGCCTGGTATGGGTCCAAGGACCTGGAATCCTTTAAACGTAGGTCAGCTGACTTGCTTAAGCCATGGTTGTATCGGCAATAGAATATTCACCTCGTTTTCTCCACTCTCAGAGCTTTAGAGTAGCTGTTGGCATGGCCAAGACGTACCTACTGCAAGACCCGATCCTCCAGGTGTAGTAAAGATCGATCCTTGAAACCACAGTCAATTCAAAACATTTTCTGTGGATGTCCTCTATGTAACAATTTATTCAATGTTGTGGCTATAAAACCAGACCTTTACTTGGAGGTCTGCAACAAAAATTTACACTTAAAACACTGTAAATAGTGATTTCATTTTTGATTTCTTTCTCTTGTTTGTTGTTTCTTTCTCTTGTCAGACATTTTCAGTGTGAAATTTTTGCTTGGACTGTGTTGTGTTGATTTAGATGCTGACATTTTAAAAGCCAAATCTAGAAAAATGGAGCTTTTGGATAGACTTCCAAGTAATAAGCAGGATGATTATGTCCATAAAGTTGTTGTGACTTTTAAATGCCATTTAGGGTGGTAACCTTCTGACATATGAGTAATAATGGGCGTATTTCCTAAGCTCACACATTTCAGAATACGTTCCATTTTCTTTTTATGTTTTCTATGTCACTAATTGTAAGAAGTCATACTTTCCCAAGACATGATTTATTTATTGACTTGAACAGACTTTTTAATTTGGTTTTTCATCCTGCATATTCTCATTTCAGATTGGAGGTGTGTATGAAAAATGTATTGGCCCCATTAAAAATCTATTTAAAATAAAAGCTTAATTATTCGTTAAGTTACCTGGACCTGCTAACCTTCTTTGTATTCCTGGGTTCAAAAGATCCTTGGTCATTGAAATGCTCAATGTAGTGATGATATTTGAACCTGGCTATATATCAGATCATTTATAAAAATTATAAAAATGCTGATCCTGAAAGATATTTTTATTTGATAGAGCTGAGCTGGGTCCTAAGAATCTGAGTTTTAAAATGTTGGCATCTCCGCAAAAATTTAAAACTTGAGCTGTATTATGACCCAGTGATTTCATTTTTGTGAATATATTCAAAGAAAACCAAGACACTAATTCAAAAGAATATATGCACCCTCATTTCATTGCAGCACTATTTACAATCACCAAGATATGGAAGCAGCCCAAGTGCCCACCAACAGATGAGTGGATAAAAAAACTTTGGTACATTTACACAATGGAATACTACTTGGCCATAAAGAGGAAAGAACTCTTAACCTTTGGGACAGCATGGGTGGACCTGGAGAACATTATGCTAAATAAAATAATTCAGTCAGAGATAGACAAGTGATTTCACTCATATGTGGAATCTAGTGAACAAAATAAACTAACAAAATAGAAATAGACTCAGAGATAGAGAATAGACCGACAGCTATCAGAGGGGAGGGGAGCTGCAGGACTGGGTGAAAAAGGTGAAGGGATTAAGCAAAAAAAAAATACAGCCAAAACCAAACAAACCTCATAGACACATACACAAAAATAAATAAAATAAATGAAATGTTTTCAGGAAGATCTGATACCCAACTAAGTTTGAAACATGCTTATTTTGTATCTTTGACAACATCCAGGTGGAGTATGCATAACAAAGAAATGGGAAAGTTGGTGTTTTGAAGTGGATTTTGGATTTCATAATTATTTGTACATATCTCCAAATGTAGAAGAACCAGACTCTTGTCATAGAGTTAAAATTAGGGATTTTAATGTGGGAGATGGGGCAGGGGGTGGGCTGGGCAGGGGAGAGCAATGGAGGAAACATGGGGACAACTGTAATTGAACAACAATAAAAAATTTTTTAAAACACACAAAAATTAGGGATTTTAGTAGCTTCATCTTAAAGACTTTCTAGTTAAGACCCTCAGTTTATAGGTGAGAAAACTAAAATAGGGAGAGGATGAGTAACTTGCTTAAAGTTGCTCAGCAGTTTCCCAGTGATTATGTCCGGTAGCCTGCGGCCTGCAAGCTGCCCCCACCCCACCTGCCCACTAAAATCTTTTTTTACCACCATAGTGTCAACCGCAAGCAACCATTACCACATTGTCATGGCTCAACAGACATTGGTGAAATTAAATACGTGAAAAATACTCTACAGCAGATCTTTTGTTCTTGTGCTTATTCTTGGAGAATTGACTTGGGTTAACACTGAACATTTAATGCTTAAACCTTCATTCTTCTTGCTGGTCCTCTTTTTTCCTGTGTAAGGACTTTCTCAAATGTGTACTTTCTTTTATAACTGGAAAATTTTTTGAGTAGGTTACTTTCTGATTTTGTTTGGTTCCCTAGTGGTGTTAACAATGTCTCCTGACAAACTTCCAACCAGACTAGTAATTTGATTTGGTAGAACTCAGGGGTATTAGATGGTAGGTGGACAGAGAAAATTGTAGCTTCATGTGACCCGGGCTTGGGTCAGGAGGTGGAAGATGCCAGACGGGGAGCTGAGAGCCCTGGGCATGTGGTTCCAGCTCCTATGTCTGTTGGGTCTCTGGATAGGGAACCTTCTGTTCTTGGTCTGTGTTTTA